AATCCGGGGTTTAGTTCCCCGACATTGTTGCCACTCCAGCACCTCAATATTAGGAGAAACCTCTGGAATAGGACAAAAAGGTAAAGAACTAGGAATAGTTTCATTACTATATACAGTATGATTATACTGAAAGCTTCTAGTTACAATAATAACAGTATTAGCAGCCACATGACTATGATTATAGCGAACAGCCCAGGCTTCATGCGATTTTCGGAGACAATGAGAACTATTTCCCATACATATTGGAACTCCTTCCACTCCAAATTGATATGTGTTTATAATTCCCGTTTCCCGTTCTATATTGTCCTTGTCTATATAGGGGGATGGCATCCAAGTAGTGTCATTGGTGAAAACCTTAATTTCTGCCTCCCCTCAGGCGACTCCCTGATACAAGGGCGGAAAGGGAATATAAGTCCAATATTCATACAAAGCCTCACTAAGAGAAATAAGTCCCCTGCCGAGGCACATCTAACAAAGGAAGAAATGCATGCTGAATCCAGTTTTCTTTTCAACAGGGTTTCAATCATCTTGTAGGAAACCACTCAGGTCCGCTCCCTGTAAGGACAAGAGCATAGCCCCGTCCCTGTTTTAGAATTTGCCCTTGAACATACTTGCCTTCTTCATTAGGATACCAAACCTTTAAACTGTCAGCGGGGACTATCACCGAGGGAGGTGAGGAAAGATGGGTTACGACAGCGGAGTCTTGCAATTGTCTCCATTGATTCAAAAAAATTAAGGTAAAAAGAACCTTCAAAATCTGGTTTCTGGGGGGCTCATTTCCCCCTTTTTGTTTTGTTTTAATAGTTGAGTTTTTAAAGTTAAATTTGTGCGCTCAATGATGGCTTGACCTTGACTGTTGCCCGGGATACCGATGATATGTTGAATATTGTATTGCTGTAAGAAAACTTGTAATTTACGAGAGACATAGGCAGGGACATTATTAGTTTTAAGTATAAGAGGAATGCCCATGATGGCAAAACAAGCTAAGAGATGTGTAATAACAGAATCAGCTTTCTCAGATGGCAACGGAGTGGCCCATTGAAAATGAGAAAAGGTATCAATAGTATGATGAACATACTTTAATTGTCCAAAAGAAGGGACATCTCATGGATTAACCCCAGGATGGAAGGATGGAATGCTCAAAGGAGCACAGGAAGGACAAGCTCGAATAAGAGAACGAGCTTGTTTATAAGTTAAATGAAACCGTCATTGAAGGCCAGAACTATTAGTGTGATGTAGAGTATATTTTTGTTCTGCAGCATGTAGGTGGCCTGAGAAATATAAGAAGTAACATAAACAGCGTATTGAGAATCACTAACAATGTTACAACCAGTAGTAGGGAAATCAAGTAAGATCATCAGAACAGCAAACAATTCTCCCTGTTGCACCAAGGGATAAGGATAAACTGTAACTCGAGATTGATGAACACACCAATATCCAGCCTTATCATTGCTACTAGCATCAGTAAAAAAGGTAGGACCTTGAACAGGAAATACAGAAATTGGTGAGAAAGGCAACACAGAATGTTGCCTAAAAAATGAAAAGATCGGAGACTTAGGATATTGGGTAGAAAATTGTCCAACAAAAGAAGCGCAAGCAACTTGCCAAGAATCAGAAGTTGCAAGAAGATAAGTGATCTGACTATGAGTGAATTGAGAGATAATTAAGGAAGGATCTCCTCCCCAAAGTTGTCGACAGTGATGCCGTCCTTTGATGATCAGTTCAGCTAAACGATCGATATAAGTAGCCAAGCGTTTAGATATTTTATTGGACAAAAAGATCCATTTTACTGGTCGATTAGTTTGATGAATCATTCCTGTGGGAGAAGGTAAAGTATGAAATTAACAAAAGGAAGGGCCTTTTGAAGTTGCTCTTCAACATGCTGGAGTTCCTGTAAAGCCAAAGGAGTTAAATGGCGTGAGTTGTCCAAGTGACTGTCTCCTTCTAGAATAGAAAAAAGATGTTATAACTGATATGTTGGTATTCTTAAAACAGGACGCATCCAATTAATGTCTCCTAGAAGCTTTTGAAAATCATGTAATGTTTTTAAATGATCACGTCAAATTTGAATTTTTGGGGGTCGAATATTTTGTGCCCCCAAGGTATAACCTAAATATTGAATAGGAAAATCCAGTTAAATTTTTTCTGTGGCAATATTAAGTGAGTAGAAAGAAAGCTGAGTTTGTAATGATACAAAAGCATCTTGCTGCTTTTCTCTGGTGGGTGCAGCAAGAAGAATGTCATCCATATAATGATATAAAAGAACAGAAGGATGACGCTTTCAAACAGGATCCAAGGCCCTATGGACAAATTCTTGACACAAGGTAGGGCTATTTAACATACCTTGAGGTAAAACTTTCCATCGATATCGAGAAAGTGGCTGAAAATTATTTAAAACAGGGACAGAGAAGATCCATACAATAATAAATTAACACAGTTGGAAACTGATTGTTTACAGGATTTAAAGTCCTATGTACAAATTTTTGACATATAGTAGGGCTATTAAGTATACCCTGGGGAAGAAGCTTCTGCTGATATTTTTGAATAGGTTGTCCATTATTATATTTAGGAATAATAAAGGCAAACTTTTTACAATCTTGAGGTTGTAATGGAATAGAGAAAAAACAATTTTTGAGATCTATGACCATTAATTTTTAACTTTGTGGGATAAGGGCAGGATTAGGAAGACCAGACTGTAAACTTTCCCTAGGTTGAATGTAAACATTTATAGTTTTAAGACAAGACAAAGACGGGAATTCCATGCAGAAGTACGTGGCTTTAGATTCCTCTCGGCCATTTGTTTTTTGACTTACTCTTTTAAAGTCCTAAGTATTTCTTTAGATAATGGCCACTGTTTCACCTAAAGAGGAGTGGTCGTTTTACACTTTAATTATAAAACTTGAGGCTGGTGAACAGTGGCTATGAGTTTAAAGGATTGTAGCCCATTTTGAACATCATATTTTTGGCAGCTGAGGAAATATGAAGAATGTTTAAAAAAGCACCAAATTGTTATGAAATATTTTGTCCCCAAAGATTAATATTGATAGGAATAATATATAAAAAAAAAACTTGACCTTGTTGACCTTTAGGACCGACACAGGTTAAAGGTTCTACATCTTGATAAACCACAGAAGCAGCACCCAAGCCAGTGAGTATGACTGAAAGTTGTCTTTTTTCCCATTGTATAGGCCACTAATTTAAACAAATGATAGACATATTCACCCCCATATCAATTAACCCTTTAAAAACTATTCCATTAATATGCAATGAACATAAGGGCTTTTGATTAGAAACTAAAGTTTCCCAAAAAACAGTTTTTTCTGTGCTACCAAACCCTCCCTATTGAGAATACGTTCCCCTGCCTCTAGGCGTATAAATTGTGAAACTTGTACCATCATAAGAATTTTATTAGTAACATCAAGATCAATGATTTCTGGAATCATCATTAACTTCCGTATAGCACTGTTGTTTTGACCTAACAAAAGTCCTACATGTCCTTTTGGCAAAGGGTCACACACTCTAATAGCTAATTTATATACTCCTCTATTAGGAGACAAGGTATAAGGTTGAGTAATAACTAAGTCAGCAGCGGCGCTCTACTTAGTTGCCGCATAAAGCTGAGAAACTGGGGTAAGGTGTGGGATCCTTAAGGAGGACTTGAATTTATTCGTTGATGTAGGTCATTGCTCACTGGGTATTGTAGTAGACTTGTATTGTAATTGTTGGGGCCCCAAGCCTGTGGGCCCCGGCTCCCGTTTCCCAGGAGAGGGGACAGTAAATTTCCACTTTTATCAGTTTTGGAACGACATTTATTTGTCCAATGTCGACCTTTACCACAACATTTGTACACCTCTGAAGGCAGCTTTCTGCCTTGAGGGATAAAAGTGTTCAATTTTTATGACATTCTTTTTTTTTTTGAAATGTCTAGGTTTACCACACTGCAAACAAACACCTTGTTTGTTATTTCCTTTTAAGGCTTTAGACAAAGCTCCAGCAAATACTTGAGCATTATAAATAGCCCCTCCAACACTAACACAAGTTTTAATATATTTATCTAAATTGGCCCCATTGGCCTTTAACGATTTTAACAATTTTTAACAGTCAGCATAAGCATTTTTAAAAGACAATGTTTGTAACAAAATTTTTGAAGAAGGCCTGCACCCACAATTTTGAAGACAGCATCCTGAAGACGGGCTATGAAATCTGGATATGGTTCATTTGTGCCCTGTAAAATCTTCACAGAGGAAAGGGAAGATTTTCCTGTTATCTCTACCTTATTTCAAGCCCTTAAAAACAAAGTCTTGATTTGAGTAAAGGCAACATCATCTAGACCAGCCTGAGCATTAAGAGTAGCATACTGGCCCATGCCTGTGAGTTATTCCTCAGTGGGTCCAGGGGGATCACACATAACATTTTTCCTAGCCTGTACATGTGCCTTGTTCATTTACCAGTTGTGCAATTGTAACCACTGAGAACGATCAAGAAAAGCCTTCCCTCAAAGTCTTCCAGTCTATAGGAATTATCAAATTTTCTGATGAAAAAACATCAAGAAGACCAAGGATAAAAGGAGATTGAGATCCATAGTTAGAAATGGCAGCTTTCATTTCTTTTTAAAAACTTAATTTGAAAGCTTAAGAAGGTTCCCCTTAACAATATCTGGGCCTTACCCGCCCCTAGGGGGTTCCCCTTCTTGTTCTCCCCTACTCACTCATGCTGACCCTACTTGCTGCGCCACTTGTTGGGGTCCGTGCCGGGGGTGGTGGAGAATGAAAGAACACACAAAAGACAAAGACACACAGAGAACATGGTGGCCGCACTCAGAGCCTCTGCCTCACTTTATTTATACTCCATAAACCCCACATCAGCAGAAAGAATGCAATGCAAAACAAACTTTCTTTTCCCACATGTAACCTTCTACTCAGTTCCTTGTTTCTATGCTCTTCCTTATCTGCCCGCCTTCTTGGCGCCTACGGGAGTTCACTAAAAGTTCAATTGGAGATACTGTCCTTGAGCCCTATCTATTCTCAGCATACTGTTTTCAAAGGCCCCTGCAATATGCCGGTTAAAAAACAAACTGGAAGCCACTGATTTAGTCCCTATAAGTAACAGATGGTGGAATTGGGGCCCAGAGCCATTAAGTAGCTCCTACAAGTTAGATGGCCACAAATTCAGGACTAGATCTAGATCTTCTAATAATCAGTCTAATTTTTGCTCCATAGAATGTTTCCTTGTCTTGCACGTCACATTACAGATGGAAATGCACCATGTTCTACACATTCACATACTGCTTCTCAAGCATAGTTGATCTTAAGCTTCCTATTATTTGTATAATCTCCATAGAAACTGTAAAATACAAATTCACTTTTCACAGGAAGTTTTTTTTTTTTTTCTCCTAGGCTAAAGTGATGGAAAGATATGAAAAACAAACCCATCTTGCTATTTTAATGGTCAGTACTGGAACAAAACATCCTTTAAAATCTGTCTGGTAGCTGAATTGGTGATTGAATTCCATGAGCAAATGCCAACATTACCAAAGTGAAAACACGGTGTTAGAACAGAGGAACACAAGCCCTCTGCATTAAGCAGACCAGACTCCAGATTTGATTTGTCAAAGCTCAGAAATAAATTAGTCTCTTGCTGTGGCAGAGTTTATATAAGTAATACTGTGCCCTGTTTTCCCTTGTGTGGGGGTGGAAGGAGAGAGCTGTTAGTATCTCTGAAACAGAATTGAGATGAATCATAACTTCTATGCATACAATGACAATATTTTTCTGTGCCAAAAATTAGGTCAAGTCAGCAATGGCTTTTAGGAAGGAGATAATGTAAAATCTGATAATGACTGAGGAATTTGTACCAATTATTTTATTTTTGTAGTATCAAAAACCCAGCTTTTTTGAAATATAATTAAAATACCAAATTGTTCATTTAAAATGTACAATTTAATGGTTTTTAGTATACTACTCTCTAATTCCAAAAAATCTTAATCACCCCCAAAATAAGCCCCTTACTTATGAGCACGGATTTCCATTTCCCTCTCTCCCTAGTCCCTGGAAACCAATAACCAACTTTCTGTCTATATGGATTTGTCTATTCTGGACTTTTCACAGAAATGGTTATAATATTTGACCTTTTGTGACTAGCTTCTTTCACTTAACACAATATTTCCTCTAAGAATTTTTTATTTGTATAGATTTGTGGGGTGTAAGTGTAATTTTGTTACATGGATATATTGCATGGTGATGAAGTCAGGGCTTTTAGTGTATCGATTGCTAGAATAACAAAATCATGCAAATTATAATATCTTCAAGGTTCATCCATGTTGCAGCATGTATCAAAGGATAATTTTTTTATTACTACATTACTTTCCATTGCATGGCTATACCACATTTTATTTGTCAATTCACCAGTTGATGAATTGATGATTTGAGTTGTTTCTACTTTTTGGCTATTTAAAATAACATTAGTGTACAAGTTTCTGTGTGGGCATATATTTTCAATTCTCTTAGGTATATGTCCAGTAGTAGAATTTCTGGGTCATATAATAACGGTATGTTTAACATTTGAGGGACTGTTAAACTATTTTTCATAGTGGCTACATCATTTTACATTCCCATCATCAATGTGTGAAGGCTCCAATTTCTCCACATTCTCACCAATACTTGTTATTGTGTGTTTGATTATAGCCATCCTAGTTTACATGAAGTGGTATCTTGTGGTTTTAATTTGCATTTCCCTTATTATTCGTAATGCCAAGTACCTTTTAACTTGTTTCCTGACCATTTTCCCATTCCCTTGTGAAGTGTTTGTTTAAGTATTTTGTCCTTTTTAAAAACTGCATTGTCTGCCTTTTAAAATACTGAATTCTTGGGGTTCTTTAAATAATTTCTTTGTCTGATGTTACACATTTATTGCAATTTTCTCTCAGTGTGTAGCTTGCTTTTTAAATTTTCTTAACGATGTCTTTCAAAGAGAAGGAAATTTAAATTTTGATGCAAGTCTAATTTATCAATTTTTTTAATGGTTTGTAGTTTTGGTGTTTCGTCTATGCTATTTTTTTTCATTCCAAGGTTATGAAAACATCGTTACTTTTTTTTTTTTTTTTTAAAGGTTTAAGAGTTTTAGCTTTCATGTGTAAGTCCAGGATGCATTTTGAGTTAATTTTTCTGCATGGTATGAGTTAAAAGTAGTGATTCTTTTTCCACACATGATATCCAATTGTTCCAAAACCACCTACTATCATTTCCTTACTGAATTTCCTTGACAACTTAATGAAAATCCATTGGCCATATATGTCTATTTCTGGACTCTCTATACTTTTCCATTAATCTCTATTGATCTATGTGTTTAGCCTTTCACCAATGCCTTATTGTCTTGGTTTCTGTAGCTTTATAGTAAGCCAAAAAATCAAGTAGAGTAAGCCCTCAAACTTTGATCTACTTTTTCAACAGTGCTCTGGCTATTCTATGTTTTTCAGTATTCCTATATAAATTTTAGAATCATGTCATCAATTACCACAAAAAACCTTCTGGGATTCTGATTGAGATTGCTTTCAATCTATAGATCAACTTGGAGAGAAATAAGATCTTAAGAGTGTCAAATCTTCCAATCCATGAACATGGGATAACTTACCAGTTATTTCAGTCTTTTCTAATTTCTCTCAGTTTTCAATATAGAGATAATGTGTTTTTTATTACATCTATCCTCATGTATTTTTGTTTTCTTATATGTTATTATAAATGGTATTGTTTTAATATTTATCTTCCACTTTTTTGTTGCTAGTATAAATAGATAAATTTGATTTAAAGTTATTGAACTTATATCCTACAAACTTGCTAAATTCACTTAGTTATTTTAGCATTTTTATACATTTATAGGATTTTCTACACATTCAAACATGTTGTTATGTGAATAAAGACAATTATACTTTGTCTTTCTGGACATTTTGCCTTTTATTTATTTTTGTTGCCTATACCGCTGGCTAGAACATCCAGTATGATGTTGAATAGACGTAGTGATATTGGTATCCTTGCCTCATTCCTGACTTTAGGAAGAAAGTATTCATTCTTTCACCATTAAATATCACATTATCTGTGGAGTTTTCATAGATACCCTTTATTTAATTGAGAATATTTCTTTCTATTTCTGTTTTGTTGAGAGTTTCTAATCATAAAGGAATGTTGAAATTTGTTAAATGCCTTTTCTGCATCAATCGAGATAACCATATTACTTTCCTATTTTGTTTTGTTAATGTAGTAAATTACACTGATTGATTTTCAGATATTTCTATCTTTTGCATTCCTAGTATAAACCACGTTTGTCATAACATACAATATTTTCCTTTTTATAAATTGTTGAATTTGTTTTACTAGTTATTTTGTTAAGCCTTTTTTATATCTATGTTAATAAAGGATATTGATCTTCAGTTTTCTTGTAATGTCCTTGTCAGATGTTGGTATTAGGCTATTCTGTCTGTATAATATGAGTTAGGAGTATTCTTTCCTCCTCTGTTTTCTGAGTGCGTATAAAATGGTTATTATTTTCTCCTTCAACGTTTGAAAAAATTCAGTATAGTAGAACCAGTACAGCAAGTTGGATTCCTTATAAGCAAAGGCTGAGGTAGAGTTTAGGGGTGAAAGATGTTTATTAGAGATCAACAGCTATGAAGGGAGAGGAAAGAAGATTGGGCAAATGCAGAAAATAAACTTCAGTGAAGGCCCAATGAATGGGGGCCAACCCAGCAGGGTACTCTGGAGTAAGTATTGCCCAGTAGAGTCAGGTACAGCCTTCACACCTTGCCCTGCTCAGTCCTTACATGGGAGCCACTCCAGAAAGCCTGTGACAATGGGGGAGACAGCACTCTGTAGTGGAGGTGGCCCCACCAATCCTAGTGAATTTAGTTTCTGAGTTTTAATCTCTGTCTCTCAGCTCACCAAGATGACCAATAACCATGAAGGGTCTCCTTCTCCGTGCCACAGTCCAGAAAGATCTGCATCAGCTATGGGTCTCATCTTTGCTTCACTTCACTCATGGATCATAGTTCTGTGCTTTCTATACTCAAGAAAATAGTCGTTTCATATATCATTTTGTTTTATAGTTGTTTTCAATAAAAGGGCTGGTCTGGGACTAATTACTCCATCATGATGGGAAGAAAAGATCTTAGTTCAGCTTTTGTCAGCCCATTATGTAGACATCTATTTTTATTAACTTTATTAGGAATTCATTTTTGACACAGCATTATAATTTTAAGACAGATTTTTCCTTAGCTGACTAGAAGAGTTTTAAAATCTTAGAAGTACAAAAGGAAGCCATAAACTCAGACCACAGCTTGGATTAATTTGCTAATGTAGACCCCTTCTTAGATGCCCATTCTCCCCTTCTGTCACCATAACCAGATTCCTTTTTAAAAAACAAAATTAATCACACAAGCAGTTCTTAATGGCAGATTTCCAGAGTCCTCAGCCAAAACAGAAGAGCCCCACTATCCCTCCCTTCACAATTCATCTCTACTCCTGGGCCATTTCAGCAGAAACCCTCTGAAACCCAAGTGACATTACCACATTTATAATAGTGGGTGCTCCTGTTACCCACTCCTTTGGACTGTGTCTCAGTCCGTTTGGGCTGCTACAACAAAAATAGCATAGACTGGGTGGTTTAAATTACAAACATATATTTCTAAAGTTCTGGAGGCTGCAAGGTCTAGATTAAGGTGCCTGCAGATTCAGTATATGGTAAGGAGGCACTTCCTAGTTCAAAGATGGTTGTCTTCTTGTTGTGTCATCACATAGGAGAAGGGCCAAGGGATCTCTCTAGCACTTGTTTGTAAGGGCACTAATTCCACTCATGAAGTCTCCACCTTTATGACTTAATTACCTCTCAAAGGCTTCCTACTTCCTACCGTCATCTTGGGGGTTAGGATTCAACATTTGAACCTATGAATTTTTTTTTAAATTTCTTTTTATTATTGTACTTTAAGTTCTAGGATACATGTGCATAACATGCAGGTTTGGTACATATGTATACTTGTGCCATGTTGGTGTGCTGCACCCATCAACTCATCAGCACCCATCAACTTGTCCTTTACATCAGGTATAAGTCCCAGTGCAATCCCTCCCCCCTCCCACCTCCCCATAATAGGCCGCAGTGTGTGATGTTCCCATTCCTGAATCCAAGTGATCTCATTGTTCAATTCCCACCTATGAGTGAGAACATGCAGTGTTTCCTTTTCTGTTCTTGTGATAGTTTGCTGAGAATGATGGTTTCCAGCTGCATCCATGTCCCTACAAAGGACACAAACTCATCCTTTTTGATGGCTGCATAGTATTCCATGGTGTATATGTGCCACATTTTCTTAATCCAGTCTGTCACTGATGGACATTTGGGTTGATTCCAAGTCTTTGCTATTGTGAATAGTGTCGCAATGAACATACATGTGCATGTGTCTTTATAG